TTTTTTGGTTTTTCTCTGGTACCGGGAACCGAACTCACGACCTTGCGCTTGCCAGGCAGGCGCTTTTGCCGCTGAGCTAAATCCCCAGCCCCGCCTGCATCACCCTTCTTCCCCACTCCCTCCAGGAAGCAGCCGCAGAGCCCCAAAGCTCCTGCACCCCAGCCGCCCCCCATCCTTAAAGTCTTCAACCGGCCCATCCTCTTTGACATCGTGTCCCGGGGCTCCACTGCCGACCTGGACGGGCTGCTCCCCTTCTTGCTGACCCACAAGAAGCGCCTGACTGACGAGGAGTTCCGGGGTGAGCCACTCAGGTGGGCGTAGCTGGGCTTGGCACTGGGGACTCCATTTCCCCTCAGCACCTCCCCGTGGGTCGGCGGGCTCCAGATGAACGCTGCATAGGGAGTCTGGCCCTGTGTGTCCCTTGCCATGTTGCTTAACTCCTCTGGTCCTTCGCTAGCTCCACTGATTCCTTCTGCCCTTTGGAAAAGGTCAGTGTCGTAGGTAAGCAGAGTCTATGCGCATGGGTTCAAATCCCATGTTCACCACTTAAGGGGCACGTGATTCCTCTGCACTTTGCTATCCACATCTGTAAACTGGGGAGTAACAGCAGCACGGTCCTGGCCTCCGAGGAGAGATGGCTCGGTAAAGTGCCAAGCACCAGACAGCTGGGGTCCTCTCTGAGGAGGGTAGAGGGGTGATCCGGGCATCTGACTGTGATTCCGCCTCAACTGTTGGGCAACCCCCCGCCCCGTCCCAATCCTGGGCATCCCTGCTCGGAATGAAACCCAGCTCACTTCCTGCAGCCCAGAGTCTGGCCTCCAGCCCTGTCCAGGCCCGTAGATGAGAGGGGGTGGCTGCAGGCCCTGTCCAGGTCGGCACCTCTTGTGCTGTGGACCCCGCCACCATGATCACGCGCTCAGATGATCCGTCCGGTAGTGCAGTGGACAGTATTGAAGCTGTGGCACCAGCGGCAGAGGGGCCTGTCTCAGGCTGGATCTATGGAAGCTTCAGGCCGTTTTTTTGAGACTTTAATTACTCTAAGTAAACTAAATGCAAGAACAAGGGAATAGAGTCCATGGGTCAATTCCCACACAAACATTTACCAGTCTGATTCTTAACAGGAAAACAATACCATGCAGTGTCTTTGTGTCCACCAGTAGAGAATGACTAGATTTATGTTCACTTGTACTGGGTACGGTGGTACACTCCGGGAGGCGGAGGCAGGAGGATCGCAAGTTCAAACCCAGCCTGGGCCACTTAATGACTTAGCAAGACTGCTTCAAAGAAAACAAAAGGGGCAGGGAGCACTGGTCATATAGCTTAGTGCAAAGGCCCTGGGTTCAATTCCCAGTACCAGGAAATAATTCATTTATGGTGTCAGGTCATACAAGGAAGCCTTGTTTGGGGGCAGAAGCTTGGAGTTGGGGGAGATCGAGGACCTCTTGCTACCTCCAAATATCTCGGTGGCGGAACGAGTAATCTCACTGGGAAATAAGCTGCATCTAAGTCCTGCCAAGGCCCCTCCTGGCGCATCCCATTTGTCTGGTGAAGCCGCGGCTTGCCGAGGCTTCTGCCTTCTGAGTTTAACACTGAGCCCAGGGCTCTTCGCTTAGCCTGGGAACTCCAGACAGCTGTGTGTCAGTGCATGAGCACAGGTGGGGGCCGGTCGCAAGGTCAGTGTGTGTGTGGAGGGGGCTACGGGGGGCTCACAATGCTAATTAAGCTGCAGTGTCTCTGGCTTGCAAAGGCCCCTTACAAAGTCCTGGGCCTAGTTTTGCTTTCATAATTATGTGTCTGATTCCGTAATCAGGGCCCCCAAATTGTACAAGCCTGAGGCTCCACTAAACCTGCATCCGCCCCAGCATTATTTATGACTAGAGGCCAATGAGCTCATCTGATTTTCAGGGGAGGCCAGAACCCCCTCCGCAAGTTTCACAATGTCCTATTTGGCAACTGTCAATTTAGAGTCCTTGGCTCCAGCAGCCCCTGTAGGCAAAGACACTCTGCCACCTGGTGGTCGGGCTCTGGAACTGCGTGTCTTGCTCCATCTCTGGGAAGTCTCTGCTCCTCATATCTGTCTCCTCCCAGGGCCCAGGCCTGTGTCTGAGGGTCCTGGAAGCCCAGACCCAGGGCCTAGTTCCACTTTGGGCTACCTGTGGTCTGGGGTTACCTGGGGTGCCCACATCTCTCATTTCTGCAACTGGTTATTGGGCACCCACTAAGTATCAGGCACTGTGCCAGACAGGGGGTGAACAGGAGCTGATGAGTGAAGCAGGTGTGACCCTGCCTTCAAGTCATTCACAGGCTGCTGGGTGAGCCTGCACCGACCAAACCACCACAGAAATAAACACACAGTCACAAACAGCAATGGCTGGCAACAAGAGGCTACACTGGAGGATTTGAGCTACTTGGGGAATCTGGGAGAACGATCTGGGGGAGGTGACACTTGAGCTGGGTCTCAATGAATTGCATTAACCTCGTGAGGAGTGTAGGGACAGCATGTGCAAAGGCCCTGCTCAGTTCAGAGGTGCACCTCTGAGATTGCCACTGGTAGGTGGAAAGTGGGTAAGGGAAGGCCAGAGAGCCCAGGAACTATTGGCTAATCAGTGACTATTGATTAATTCATAGACTTCTCATCATAGCTTCGATTTAACTAGAAAAGAAAGTGAGCAGAGAAATGGTGGCAGGCAGCCAGGAGCAAAGCCAGTGCTGGAACTGCTGGGTGGGTGACTGCACAGCTGACCCGGCCCCACACAGGGGTCTCCCCTGAGCCTGCTCCTGTGCCCTGAGTGTGATACTGCTGCAGGCCTGGTTCACATGGGAATGTTCTTTTCATTGACGCATTCTTTTGAGATAGAAATCAACTTCTGTGACCAGAAAAATAATTACAAGGGAAAGAAAATCACCAAAGGACACTGGCAAGCCTCAGTGAGAGGCGGCGAGGGCCCAGACTGCCAAGGCTACACTGACCTCATGCAAAGTCTGACAGGGGATAAAGGCCTTCAGGTTACTGCTGTGTCCTTGGGACCCCCAAGACTTGCTCCCAGCCTTCTATGGTAATTTTGTGTCCTCCACATTCAGCACACACTTTGGGGAACACTGCATCCTGCCTCCCCTCCAGGGGCACCAGTGTCATTGTTTGATGGAGAAAGGGGTTCTCTGTTCCAGCAGGTGGGCAGATACAGCCTAGGGTGTCTTGTTTTTTCAGAGGCTCACAGTCCCTCTTAAAGGCTCTGAAAAGTCTTGCAGTAAAAGAATAGATTTGACTTTGTAGTTTGTTCTCCTTTGTTTTGTTTTGTTGTATTTTGGGGGGACACTGAGAACTGAATTCAGGGCCGTGTGCAGGCCAGGCAAATGCTCTACCACTGAGCTGCACCCTCCGCTTGGGAGATTTTAACTTTGCATTCACATTTATTTGATTACAAAGCCCTTTAAAAAATTCCCTCAAATATGATTGATTAAAATATAGGTGGTGGCCTCCCATACTCCAAAGCATTTTTACTCTCATGAGTTTATGTGACCTCCTTCGCATCACAAGAGGCACATACAGTGACCCTGTGTCCCCACTAGACAGATGGGGCAACAGCCTGGAGAGGCAGTGTGACAGAGTCCCAGATCCAAGGCCTCTGACTCCCTGGCTGGCAGCCCAGGGCTAAGCCCACCTCATCCTGTATGTCTGTCCCCCAGAGCCATCCACAGGGAAAACCTGCCTGCCCAAGGCCCTGCTGAACCTGAGCAATGGCCGCAACGACACCATCCCTATGCTCCTGGACATTGCTGAGCGCACAGGCAACATGCGAGAGTTCATCAACTCACCCTTCCGAGACATCTACTACAGAGGTGGGGGCCCTGCGCAGGTGAAGAGGGTGCTTGGAGTAGTGGTGGAGGCCACAGCCTTGCTCATTTGACCCCCAAGAGCTTTGGTTTGGGCCTCAAGTGCTAACCTACCCAGGAAGGCACGTTTGTGAGTGGGTGGATGGATGGATGGATGGAGGAAGGGATAGAGGGATGGGTGGAGGGATGGATGGAGGGATGGAGGGATGAGGAATAACCACCCCTTCCACTCTGATGTTCTAAGTCTTGGAATCAGAGATTCCAAAACTTGGAGATGCAGTGAGCCTAGTGGTCTGAGCCTGGAACTCTGCACCTAAGAGGTGCTGGGATTGAACACGGAGGCTCTGTGGAAATGAGTCTGAGCCAGCAGCACTGGGGTAAAGGCACCAGGTGCCCAAGCTCTCTTGTTCTCGGTTCTGACAGTCTATGAATCAAACCTGGCCTTTTAGATTGCTTGATATTAACATTCAAAGTCGGTGAATTTTATATGCCAAGTTGAAAATTCTGTGCTTGGATTAAAGTAGCACATGTGTCTGAAAAATTCTGGCCACTGAGATCCCACAAATTGGATCGCCTTTGAACTTGAAATTCTGTTGCGACAATGCACATCCCTAGGGCTCCATGCACCCCAACTTCTGCATCCTGGGAAACATCTGAAGCCCCGGGTACCACCTTCTGATGTTGCTGTCCAAGACTCTGGCCTGCAGCCCCGTCCTGATTTTCATATTCTGTATCCGCTCATTACCCCCAAGCAAGCCTGGTGGGGTCTCTGTCAAGGGGGGCCCCTGTTTGACTGTCACCCCATTCCCAGGCCAGACCGCTCTGCACATTGCTATCGAGCGCCGCTGCAAACACTACGTGGAGCTCCTGGTGGCCCAGGGAGCTGATGTGCACGCCCAGGCCCGTGGACGCTTCTTCCAGCCGAAGGATGAGGGTGGCTACTTCTACTTTGGTGAGGAGGGGCTTTCTGGGGAGGAGGCCAGGGGAGTGCAGGGTGGGAGACGGGGGTGCAGTGAGTGTCCACAATCTGGGCAATCTGCAGACACTCAGAGCTGCACTGGCCACTGTCTTGCTTCTAAGAGGTGAGCCCTAGAGAGAGCTCAGGGTCAGGGCCTCAGCTTCCCCATCTGTACAGACAGGATTCTGGGAAGGTCCAGCATGCTGATGGAGTATCAGCACGTATTTTTCTTATCCTTTAGTCTGACTTAGGCTGGGAGCAACAGTCAAATGCCCAGGCCCAAACCCCACGAGTGTCACATGGTCACAGTGGGATGAATGAAATATTTCGGATGTTACCCCTGCTTAGGGGTACAGATTATGTGAGGCTCAGAGACAATGTCCCACAAAGAATTCCACCATCCGTCCTAGTAGTCCAGGCTCCCCCAGGCTCCAGATCACCCGGCTACGCCCCTGCACAGCCTTACTGAATGGCTACACCCGAAAATAGCCATGGCCCAGTAACCACGCCCACGAATAGCCATACCCTCCCAAATACCCATGCCCTCAAATAGCCGCATCGCGAATAGCCACGCCCCTAGTGGCAACACCCTGAAGAGCCGCGCCTATGGGTAGCAACATGCCCAAATACAACCTAGTTACCACGCCCTGAATAGCCACATTCAGGAATAGCCACGCCCCAAGTCACCGCTCCCTTGAACAGACACACCCTCAAATATTCATGCGTCCAGTATGTGTCCCAAATTGGCCACAGTGGGAATAGCCACATTTGGGCTGGCCACACCCCAGATCGCCACGCCCCCGAGCCCCCAGGCCCCCCAATACTCCTGGCCCTGACCCCCAGTGGCCACGCCCACCTCCCAGCGGGGCAGGACTGTGGTCGCGGGGGAAGGGCGCGTTCACGCGGCTGTAGGAGCCACGCGCAAAGTCAGATGCACATGCCGAGGCGTCCCTCCGCCCGGGGCCGCTCACTGCCATCCCCGCCTCGCTGCCCACAGGAGAGCTGCCGCTGTCGCTGGCCGCCTGCACCAACCAGCCGCACATCGTCAACTACCTGACCGAGAACCCGCACAAGAAGGCCGACATGCGGCGGCAGGACTCGCGCGGCAACACCGTGCTGCACGCGCTGGTGGCCATCGCCGACAACACCCGCGAGAACACCAAGTTCGTCACCAAGATGTACGACCTGCTGCTGCTCAAGTGCGCCCGCCTCTTCCCCGACAGCAACCTGGAGGCCGTGCTCAACAACGACGGCCTCTCGCCGCTCATGATGGCCGCCAAGACCGGCAAGATTGGAGTGAGTGGGGCCCGGCCTGTGCGCGAGCACGCACACGCACACGCACGCACGCATGCGCACAAGCACGCGCTCGCTCCAAGCTGCTGCTGGCCGTCATTGTTAATACATGTACCCACCTTCCAGTTTGCCAGTCCCGGTGTGCGAGTGTCTTAACTCAAGAATCTGCTATGGCTCCCTAGTGTCCTGCCAAGCTGTTTAGCTTCATCCCGGAGCCTGTCACTGGGGCTCACCCTCTGTTCCATTGGCCATTGGTATAAAAGGGAAGCCCAGGGTCCCAGCTCTGTCCTCCCAGCTCCTAACCTGCGGAGTAACCTGACACAATGCATCCCCTCTCTGAGCCTCACACTACGGGACTTAGAACGTTTTCTGTCTCAGCACTGCCGTGGACAGGATGGTTCTTTGCTGTGGGGGAGCCCTGTGCATTATAGGAAGTTTAGCTGCGTCCCTTGCCCACCCAGCCCTTTTTTTTTATTGGTACTGAGAGTTAAACTCAGGGCCTTGCTCTTGCCAGGCAAGCGCTTGTGCCGCTCAGCTACATCCCCAGCCCTCCTGCCCTTGATAGACAGGCTGTCCCTTTCACACTTGTGACTGCCAAAAATCTCTGCAGACATTGCCAAATTGCCATTGCCCTGACTGGGAGCCAAGCCCAGAGCACAACTGGTTTGGGCCCGGCTCTGCGTCTTCCCTGCATGTGGCGGCAGGCCTTGGATCTCCCTTTTCTGGGCCTGAGTTTCCTTGTCTATAAAATGGGGCAAATAGTAGTGCCCTTGGTATAGTGTTACTGTCACAATTAAAGATCTTAAGAAGAGCTCAGGTAGTAAGTGCTCAGTAAGTGGTAGGGCTATGACTCCATTAAAAAAGATAGCAGAATTTTGCTGGGTATGATGTCACATGGTTGTAATCCCAGCACTCTTGGAGACTGAGGCAAAAGGATCACAAATCTGGGCCCAGCCTGGGCAAATTAATGACTTTAGTGAGACCCTATCTCCAAAAGAAAAAAGAAAAAAAATATATTTTAAAAAAAAATTGCCAGGCATGGTAGTGCAAGAGGATTTTTTTTTTTTTTTTGGTACTGGGAATCAAACTCAGGACCTTGCGCTTATCAAGCAGGTGTTGTGCTGCTGAGCTACATCCTCTGCTAAACAAGAGGATCTTGAGTTTGTACAAGCTTGAGGCTGGGCAGCATGGTGAGAATTAGTCTCAAGGAAAAAAGTGTATGTGTGTGTGTGTGTGTTATGTATATGTTTAGCAAAAGCTACTAAGATCACAGTTCAACTAGAGTGCAGGGGTGGGAGGGAAGGCCTGTGTTTAAAGTTTAACTTTGTCCTATAAAGACAGTAGTGATGGTGCTAGGATCGTTATGGTCAGGATTCATGTGTTAGTAAGACTGAGTCGTTGCTATTTAACGAGGAAGGTCCTCCTCGGCTCGAGGATGGGTAAGCCTTGCCCAGGTGGGGCCCCCTGGCGTGTGGCCTCAGGGAACACCCTTTGTGCCTTGGTGGCTTCTTTTCCTCATCTATAAACCAAGATGGTAAGAATAAGAATGGAACAAGATGGCTCAAGATCCGGGAAGCAGGGGTGCTCGGTGGTTTCCCTGTACTCTGTCCTACCCTCTGGGGAACAGCCACTTGACAAGCTGGACCCGCCATGGGCTCCATCCCCTGTGAGGGGCTGAGTGGCAGTCTCCCCAGGGCCCTGTAACCCTCCCCTTGCCCATGCAGATCTTTCAGCACATCATCCGCCGGGAGGTGACAGATGAGGACACGCGGCACCTGTCCCGCAAGTTCAAGGACTGGGCCTACGGACCAGTGTATTCCTCGCTCTACGACCTCTCCTCCCTGGACACGTGTGGGGAAGAGGCCTCTGTGCTAGAGATCCTGGTGTACAACAGCAAGATCGAGGTGGGCATCAGGGCAGGGTGGGCATGGGGAAGGAGGGGTGCAGTGGGAGCCCGGACTGGGCTGGTGAGACTCAAGAATCCATACCTCTGTGGCCCCCAGCCTGGGTCTGGGAGCTGAATGCAAGGGAAAGTACCATCTAAGTGTCCAGGAGGTGTCTGCTGGCCCCTAAGGAAAGAAGCAGGGCTCGTGAGAGGACGGGCTTGGGGTGCACAGTGGGCTTGACCGGAATCTTGGCTGTGTCGTTTTATGTGCCGTGACTCAGGATAACTTGTCCTTCCCGAGTCTCAGCGTCCCAGTTTGTAACCCAGGGAGAAGGATAATGTCTATCCCACAGAGCTGTTGGGAGGGCCAGATGAGTTCATTTTAGAACGCAGTATAGACACTATATGTCAGCTATTATCATTAGTGGTCATTACATGAAGTTTCCAAAGCCCTTCTCTTTCACTTAGTGTTTGGAGAACATCGTTCTGCACCATTACTCTTCCGCAATACCAATGCTGCATGTAAATAAATGCACCACACGCTAATGACCCGTTCCTCTGCTGTCGGTCGTTTGGGTCTGTTTCTGCCTTTAACTATGAGGAATACGCTACACAAGCATCTTTATGGCTTCACTGTCACACAGATCCACAGTTATGAAGAAATTCAAGTCATTAGAGATATTGGATGCGGCACAAATGAGGCAGCAAATGCTGGGGAGTGGGCAGGGGTGGGCTCTCTTCCAGCCCTATTTTGTGGCTTATGGCTCTGTAAGCTCGACTTTCCTCACAAGACCCCTTCCTTGAAATGAGTGACCTACTTGATTCAGTTTGCAGATTTAGTTTATCATCTCTTGTACATACTCGGATTGATTGGTACAGTCTACCCAGGGAACTGTACAGAGCACTATTGTGCAAGGCTCAATTACTGATGTCTGGCCTGGATCAGAATTGGAGAACTGGGATGATTTAATTATTTACTACATCTGAGCTAAATTTCTGTCTTGGATCATCAGAACTTCTGAGGATGGAGCCCAGGCATTTATATTTTTAGCCAAGAACTCAGTACTGTTTACAGGTTGGAATTTGGGAACCATGAGAGGATAGATGTTCCTTAAGGAGCTTTCCAGCTCTGGTTCTCTTCTAGAACAAGTGGGACGGTAAGTTGAGGCAGAATTGGACAGAGCTTTGAATGATGAGCCTGGGAGTTTGGAGTGCTGAGAGCCCATCCAGTCCCCTGCACATCCTGGGGTATGGCTGGAGAGTGGATTAAGGAAGGGAGTGCCCTGGGGATGGAGAGCGGGGAAGGCACATCAGAGTCAGCCGGTCTGGATCCCCAACATCGGGAAGGCGGCCCGACCCCCTTGTCTCACAGAACCGCCATGAGATGCTGGCGGTGGAGCCCATCAACGAGCTGCTGCGGGACAAGTGGCGGAAGTTCGGGGCTGTCTCCTTCTACATCAACGTGGTCTCCTATCTGTGTGCCATGGTCATCTTCACCCTCACTGCCTACTACCAGCCGCTGGAGGGCACTGTGAGTGCTTGGAGCTGGGGGGAGCAGGGCTGGCACTGGGCCGGGCCTCTTAGGCCTGGGACACAGCTAGGTCCTCCCGGGTCCCCAGTGGGAAGGAATGGAGAAGCCCTAGAGACAGGTTGAGGGGGTCCACCAATGTCCAGGGTGGCTCTGGGAGGAGATCCTGGAGGAAGGTAACAAGGGGGAAGGCTTCACAGGATCCAGATGTTTGTAGCATTGGGCTACATGGATCCAAGGGCAGATGCTGGAGGGGCAGATGAAGACCTTGTGCCCACTCCGCAGCCACCCTACCCTTACCGCACCACGGTGGACTACCTGAGGCTGGCGGGCGAGGTCATCACGCTCTTCACAGGCGTGCTGTTCTTCTTCACCAACGTGAGTGCGCGGCCCCGATGCCACCCACCCTTCCTGCCCCTTCTCCTCTCCTCCAAGTCGCCCCTCCTCTCCCTCTGCGTATTCGCCCCTTTTCTCCTCCCACCTCCTGTTTGCCTTCTCTGCTCGTTCCTCTCTTCTCAACAAGAGCCCATTGTCTCTGTCTCCTATTCTGCCTCCCTCGCTTCTGTTCCTTCCTCTTTCTCTCCTCTCCTCTGTCCTCCTCCTGGTTCCACCCCTGTCACCACCTGCTCTCCTCTTCCAGATCAAAGACTTGTTCATGAAGAAATGTCCCGGAGTGAACTCTCTCTTCATTGACGGCTCCTTCCAGCTGCTCTAGTGAGTGGAGGCCCCTGGGCCGGCAGCTTCTCGGTGAGGGTGGTGGGGTTGCACCGGTCATCCAGTTTGGGGGTGAAGTGACTTCATGAGGAGTGGCAAGTCAAAGTCAGGGCAAGGCCAACATGTGATGAAGAGATACTGTACTCTGTTTGCTAGGGAGTTAGCATATATACCGAGGTAAGAATAATTTTAATCTCTTGTGTTGGCAATTGATTGCTAATGTCTACCTACAGTGCCATGTTAGAATTTTTTTTTTTTAATTTTTCAGTATTAGGAGATGGAACCAAGGACCTTTGCACTGACCTCAATTCCCAGCCCCCCCCCTTTTTTTTTTGAGACAGGATCTATGTTGCCCAGGCTGGGCTTGAACTTTTGATCCTTCTCCCTCAGCCTACTAGAGTGTTGGGATCATGTTTGAAAACTTGGAGCCTGTATTTGTGTTTCGTGGGAAAGACAGCTGTGATCGATTTATAATATCTGCTTGAGGCCTGGGACACCGGATGTGGGAGTTCCTGCATGTGTGCTACACCTTTTTCATTCCCTTTGGAATTACAAAACCCTAAAATTCATGTAGCCCCAAAGTTTCCACTGAACCTTTATGAAGCAATCCAAGGGGCATCACTTTGGGGTCTTGTAGGCCTTGGGCCTACAAGTACAACTAGATTGCTCTTTAATTAGTTATGTGTTCTGGCTAACGGAAGGCTGAGGAGCCCAGTTAGTACACTTCGATTTTCTTCTGGTGCAGAAGCAGAGGGACATCCTGGTACCCTAGAGGGCTTGGGCCATGTCTCCCTCTCCAGGGTCTTATTGTCCCCCGTCCCCTCTGGCCCTCCTGTGGTCTCTGCTGCCCTGTAGCTTCATCTACTCTGTGCTGGTGATCGTCTCTGCGGCCCTCTACCTGGCTGGGATCGAGGCCTACCTGGCTGTGATGGTCTTTGCCCTGGTCCTGGGCTGGATGAACGCCCTGTACTTCACGCGAGGGCTGAAGCTGACCGGGACCTACAGTATCATGATCCAGAAGGTATAGGCAGGGGAACCTCTGGACTTGGGTCTCCTTGGAGGGAGCCACACACACTGCGTGCACATCTTAGGTGCCTGCAGACCAGAGATGTGGGGTGCAGTGGGCAGCAGGCATGTCTGGGCTTGGGGGAGGGACAAGGCTGGAGCTGGCCCGGTTGGGATGGAAGAAGGGGCAAGTGAGAAACGGTGTGTCTCCTCTTTGCCTCCACGGTCCCACCCACTGGGGGCTTTAGATCCTCTTCAAAGACCTTTTCCGCTTCCTGCTCGTCTACTTGCTCTTCATGATCGGCTATGCTTCAGGTGAGCCCCGCGTGTCTAGGTGGCCTGGGGAGCGGGAGGGCGTGGCGGTGGGCCTGGGGCAACGCCTGGAACAGCTGCCAACCTGGATTAAGGACCACAGGTGGCACTGGTTGAGCTCTCCCTGTGCCAGGCCCTGGGCTGAGTATGCTACCATCCCTGCCTTGTCCTGTCCTCCCAGCAAGCCTTTATCGTTACCTTTTAGAGAATAAGAACAGAGAGGCTTAGCAAGGTCCAATACGTTGCCCAACTTCAAAAGCTGGCCGTTGGTAAAAGTGGCCTATTAGCTATTTCTGCAAGGCAAGTCATGCAAAAGTTAGTGTCTTAAAACAATCATTCATTAATTAAATTATTTATTTTTGCAATCCTGGGGATTGAACCCAGAGGGCCTTTAGACTGAGCTACATCCCCCCAGCCCTTTTTCTATCTTTTATTCTGAGACAAGATCTTGCTAAATTGTCCAGTTTGGGCTCAAACTTGTGATCCTCTTGTCTCAGCCTCTTAGAATAGGGCTATAGGTGTGTGTTAGTAGGCTGGGCATTTTGGGGGCTTTTTGCTGTGTAGTGTAGGCCAGCCCTGAATTTGTTATGCAGTCTAGGCTGGCCTCAAACTCACGGTCCTCCTGCCCAAGCCTTGCAGAGTGCTGGCATTATAGGCACATGCCACCGTGCCCAGCTCACCTCCGTTTTTTTTGCTTATGAGTCTCTAGGTCAGCCGGGTGGTCTGGAAGGTGTCACCCTTCCTGACACATTGACCCAGGCTGGGTGTGGCAGATTTCAACAGCTTCTGCGTCGAGTGGTCAGTGGGAGTGGGTGGTCTGCTGTCAATGCCCCGTATCCAAAGGGGAGTGGCCAGCTCAGGCTGGTCCAGCCACTTTCACATCTGGGCAAGTTCATTGAGGGACAGTACTGTTGACATTTGGGGCCAGATAATTCTTGTGGTGGGGGCTGCCCTGTGCACTGCAGGGTACTGAGCGGCAGCCTAGCCTGTACCCTCTCAATGCCAGAACCAACCCTCCCTAGTTGTAATAACAAGTTGTGTCTCTATAACTCTCCCTGGCTTCAGAATGAGGAAGACCCAATTTAACTTGGCTTGGCTTACCTGCTGGGTGACCTGGGGCTGGGGCTGCCCCCCTCAGGCCTCAGCTTTTCCTCCATCAAATGGGAATATTCCCACCCCGCCTCCCAACTCCTGTCCTCCCGCTCAGCGAAGCCACCCGTTCCTCCCGCAGCCCTGGTTTCCCTCCTGAACCCGTGCGCCAACATGAAGGTGTGCAACGAGGATCAGACCAACTGCACGGTGCCCACGTACCCCTCGTGCCGCGACAGCGACACCTTCAGCACCTTCCTCCTGGACCTCTTCAAGCTGACCATCGGCATGGGCGACCTGGAGATGCTGAGCAGCACCAAGTACCCCGTGGTCTTCATCATCCTGCTCGTCACCTACATCATCCTCACCTTCGTGCTTCTGCTCAACATGCTCATTGCCCTCATGGGGGAGACGGTGGGCCAGGTCTCCAAGGAGAGCAAGCACATCTGGAAGCTGCAGGTAAGGCCAGGACCCCCAACCCTTCCAAGGCAGGGGAGCTGGGGAGATGCCTCAGCCTTCCACTCAAGTCCTGCAGCACCTCATTCTGCCTCCACTTCCTTGTCTGTGAAATGGGCAGCCAAGGCTGCTGCCTACATCCAGGGCTGCCTGATAAATTTTACAGAGGCTCCTGGCCCGGCTCAGGGGACCCACTTGGCTCCATGCAGCGTGACTGAGTGACTTCTGCTGGCACAACAAGTGCTTAGAGAGTATCTAAATCCGTTTGCTGTTCCTATAACCAAATACTTGAGACTAGGTAATTTATAAGGAGTAGAAGTTTATCTGGCTTGTGAACCACAGGCTGGAAGCTTAAGAGTGATGCCACATCTGGCCAGGGCCTCCTTGCTGTACCATAACATGGCAGAGGGGGTCCCACAGCGGGACAGAGCAAGCGTGCGAGCTCAGGTCTCTCTTCCCCTGCTTAGAAAGCCATTAATCCCATCGTGGGCCCCATCCCTGACCACAGCTAACCTTAATCACCACCCAGAGGCTGTGGAGCTGCATTACTGTGCCGGAGCATACTTGGGCACCGAGGGGCAGCCGTATAGAGGCTGGCTTCCTGGGCACAGGGTGCTGCTGCCTTTGCTTCCCAGAGTGCCAGGCATAGTTCTCAACCTGGGTATTTACTGTACATAGTGCCGCCACCAGACCTGGCACCCCAGTGCCCACGCTGACCTTGACCCAGTGCGTTTCAGGAAAGTGGCACAGGGGGAAACACCCAAGGTCATCTTTGTGGACCTGAACATGAGGGCAATGGCTTGGGGCTGCCTGTAAACTGTACCCGTACTGCGTACTGCCCCGGGCCTCAGTTTCCCTGCTGGGTATAGAACTCATGGCAGCCTATGGACTGGATCCATCCAACAAGGATTCAGTTTTTGCCCAGACCCACTCTATTTTTAAAATTTTTGTTTGTTTGTTTGTTTTTTGGTTTTTCTCTGGTACCGGGAACCAAACTCACGACCTTGCGCTTGCCAGGCAGGCGCTTTGCCACTGAGCTAAATCCCCAGCCCCTATTTTTAAAATTTTAATGTATAATTTAGTAATTCGTTTCATATAAAAGGCCAGATTTCTGGCCTTTTTTGTGACAAGTTGGATGCCCAGCCACGTTGGCCTGCCCTCCTGCCCGGCAGCCCTGTTCACGGGGGGCATTTGTTTCCTGGTGCCCCCCAGTCCCCAGCCCGCCCTCTTGACTCCCACACCGCATGGTGACTGAAGATGTGCCCGGGGCCTGGACGGTGGCCTCTCCGGATCTGGGTCCTGCTTCACTCTTTCCTTTGCTGCAGGTGGCGGGGTTTATGAAGCGTATTTCTAGGGTAATAGGAGCTGGAAAACGTGGTACTCTGCCCAGCCCGGCCCCCTGGCTCCTTTCTGTCACAGGGCTCTCGGCCTCTTCTGGGGAGGTCACCAACGCCCCGCCCTGTCTGCCTCCCCGCAGTGGGCCACCACCATCCTGGACATCGAGCGTTCCTTCCCCGTGTTCCTGAGGAAAGCCTTCCGCTCTGGAGAGATGGTGACGGTGGGCAAGAGCTCGGACGGCACCCCTGACCGCCGGTGGTGCTTCAGGTGAGGCGGCTCCGTAGGCTGCTCTCCCTGCCCTTCCAGCCCACCATAGCTTCCAGAGGCCCCAAGGGCCCTGTCATTCAGGGTGACCTTGGGAGAGCCAGTTTCCTGTCCCCGGCCTCCGTTTCTTCACCTGTGAAGTGGGCGTGCTGTTGCACCACCTCCGTGCCCAGCTGTGCCCTGGGTGGGTCGGCGTGCAACAAGTGCTTGGTCACTGCTGGATGCCCCCTGGGACTCGCGCAGCTCCTCTGCCCTCGCTCAGGGCAGCAGAGAGGACGGTGCGGGTCCCAGTGCATCGTGCTGCACCCACCAACCGCGGGCTTGGCTTTGGCGCTGTGGCTGGCGTGGGGACACAGAGGAACCTGCAGCTTCCGGGATTGGGACCTTAGCCTGCCTATGTGTGGGTGGCTCCGTGTTCCAGATGCACAGAGAGTGCCAGCTCCTCGGGGGAGCCCCTTGGTGGGTCTTTTTGTTTAAGGGGAATCATTCCTTGTAAAGACACTGCCAGCACAGAGTATAGGCATGATATGTGAAGTTGGCAAAACCAATTTTCTGATCTGTGAAGTGGGAACAATAACAGCAGCCATCAGTCAGACATGGTGCTGCACACCTGTAATCCCAGCTACTTGGGAGGCTGAGGCAGGAGGATTCCAAGTTCAAGGCCAGCTTGGGCAAAAAATAAATAAATAAATGAAAAGGGCTGGGGATGTAACTCAGTGTAAGGTCCTGGGTCCAGTCTCCTTACCATATAATAATTATAATAATGGCAACTACTTCCAAGTCAGCCAGTCAGAAACCAGACTGAAGGTCGGTCTGAATCCAGAGTTCAAATCTTAACTCTGCAACTTAGCAGCTTTGTCACCTTGGAAAAACAGCCTAACACATTTCTGTTCCTATAAAATGGGAACATCAAATGTGTCTTCCTTGCTGAGTCCTGACGTGTATCAACTGCTAAAAAAAAAAAAAAAAAAAGGAAAAATAAGAGAAATTGTTCGAAAAGTAACAAAAAATAATTTTAGAAAGTAAAAATTATATTGGGCCAATTTTACATGCCCAAGAAACTGTAACTTTACTTTACCAGTGGCAAGAAAGAGTGTGCCCAGCAGTGGAAGAATGGGTTAACACAATGTGGTACATCCATACACTAGAATGTTATTTGACCACAAAAAAGGACTGACACTGTAGTTGGTCATAGTGACGCATGCACATAACCCTAGCTACTTGAGAGGCTGAGGGAGGAGGATCGCAATTTAGCAACTTAAAGAGACTGTCTCAAGAAATTAAAAGAAGGTTGGGAATATAGTTCTGTGCAAAAGCCCTGGGTCCCCAGTATCACTACCACCAAAAAAAAAAAAAAAGAAGTTCTGCTTCCTGCTGCTGCAGGGATGAACCTCGAGAACATGAAGCTGAGGGAAAGAAGACACTTAGGGGTTGGGGATTTAGCTTAGCAGCAAAGCGCCTGCCTGGCAAGTGCAAGGTCGTGAGTTCAATTCCTAGTACCGGAAGAAAAACAAAAACAAAAAACAAAAAAAAAAAAAAAGAAAGAAGCCACTTATTCTATGAGTCCACTTGTAGGAACAGTCTGGCACAGGCTAACCTACAGAGACAGCAGAGTGCAGGCCACCGGGTGGGCGAGGGTCCGGGAGGGACTGTTCAGTGGGGGTAGAGGAGCTGTTTGGGCAATGGAAGGATGTTGGAAGTAGGAACAATGATTGTATAACATTATGAGAATACTTGATAGCACTGAGTTTGATACTTCAGCATGATTGAAATGAGCTGGGTGTGGTGGTGCGCCTCTGTAATCTCAGCACTCTGGGAGGCTGAGGCAGGAGGATTGCAAGTTTGAGCCCAGCCTGAGCAACTTTGCAAGACCCTGTCTCCAAAATGCTACATACTTACTTACATACACACATACAGCTGGGGGTGTAGCTCAGTGTGAAGGTCCTGGGTTCAATTCCTCGTACCACCCACCCCCCCAGAAAAAGGATCAGAATGACAAATTGTATTATGTGTATTTCACCATCGTAGAAACAGGAGGGAGGGGTGCTAGAGCAGCGCAGCGACCTCGGGACGGGGATGAGCCCTCTCTGTGGGGCTTCCCTGACCCTTGCTTTGCCCCGACAGGGTGGATGAGGTGAACTGGTCTCACTGGAACCAGAACTTGGGCATCATCAATGAGGACCCGGGCAAGAGCGATACCTACCAGTACTACGGCTTCTCGCACACCGTGGGCCGCCTCCGGAGGGGTGAGCGAGGTCGGGGGAGCAGGGCCCATCTGTCCCTGTCACGTGTTTGTTCTGAGCAGTCCTGTCCCCGTCCTGGGACTCGGTGTCCACGTTGTGGGATGGGGAGTGGGGTGGGCCAGCCGATGGGTGTCCGCGTCCGCTGCTGCTTGAATGCCTGGGCCGCCCCCTGGTGGCCTCACACTGGTCCTCCTGATGCTGTGACACAGCTGGTGTGGGGAGGCAGGACAGGGAGGGCAGATCCAGCCATCCCTGCGGTGGAGAAGTCCCTCTGTCATTCCACTGCACCTCGAGAGAGAGGACAGGGCGCTCAGCTCCCTGATCAGGGCTCGCATCCTGGTTCCTTACTGCGCTTCTGGGTAGGCATCTTGGCCTCCCTGAGCCCCACTTTCCAAGTCTGTGAAGTGGGCAGGAAGCCACCGCCCCGTTAGGTCTCCGGGGAGTGCCCGGCACTGGATGCGGGAGCCGCTCACCTGCTCCTCACCAGCCCTCATCCTCTCCCACCCACCGTCCAGATCGCTGGTCCTCCGTGGTGCCCCGCGTGGTGGAGCTGAACAAGAACTCCAGCCCGGACGAGGTGGTGGTGCCTCTGGACAACCTGGGGAACCCCAGCTGCGACGGCCACCAGCGGGGTTACGCCCCCAAGTGGAGGACTGAGGACGCCCCCCTCTAGGGCTGCAGAAGGCCCGGCCCCTTGCCCCGGCTTGTTTCTACTCCCCCTGCTGCACAAGCGGCTTCTCCCAGCGTCCCCATAGCTGCCTGCAACCCCCAGAGGCGAGGGCCCGCGGAGATGCTGGGGAGCCCCCAGGACCTTCTGGCCCCAAGCTCCCGCGCCGGTGCACCTGGGGATGGGCTCCCGGCCGCCTGTCTTACTCCCATGGAGTCACCTAAGCCACCAGGCCTCTGCCCGACCCCTGCCCTGCCTTTCTGTTATTTATTGCTCTGCTCTCAGGAAAGCGTGAACAAGCCCACCTGGGGCAGGTAGCACCCTCGGTGCCTTGCTGCGGCGCACAGGCCTGCGTGGACGAGATGGCGTCGCCGGGCGCCCGGCCTCGGGCCGGGCCGCACTTTCTGTGTGATCTGTGCGTTGCCATCCGCCGGTGCTCAATAAATGCTCACTCGTGGATGTTGGAGACGGTGGGGGTGAGGGTGTTGGTGACAGACACGGGGTGACCCCGGGGGTGTCCGGAGTGCTAGAAGGGCTGGTGGTGAGGGCGAGTGTGCGAATACGGCGCAGTGGTGCGGGCTGGGCTGGGGCGGTAGTGGTGGCGGTGGCCTAGGGCTGGGGCGGAGACCGCAGCAGCTGCAGAACAGGTGATGACGGCGGGAATGGGGAGGAGTGTTGCTGGTGAAGGGTGGTAACCTTCCTAGGGGACAGGGATGCCGCCTCCTCCTGCAGCCCCTGCAGCCCCTGCCCCGTCCTGCTTGAGCCGGGCCTCTGTCCTGCTTCCCAGAAGCTTGCTGGGAAAAGCTGGCCAGGAGGGGGCCCGGCTGCGGCCGCCGAGGGGGAAGGAGCGTGGGCTGGGGTCTGCGGCCAGGGTCCTCCCTGCCCCCGCGTTGGGCACAGGTGCTGATTTGGGAGATTTGCTTGAGATACTTTACCTTTCTTGGCCCGCATCCTCATCTGCGAGAAGGATGGAGACGGATCATAGGAAAAGCTGATGTCGGGAGGAAGCGGGGGCCGCCCCACCTTCCCCGAGCTGCCCCTGGTCCTGGTACACTGGGTCCGCAATGTCCTCCTCAGTACCCGGAGCAGGTCCTTGTCCCTTGTTGGGGGCGCAGAGCTGTTCTGATCAGACAGACATGGGGTAAACGCTGCGCCATCAGAATGGGGGTTTGTGGGGCAACTCTGGAGGCAGGCAGGTGTCTTTCCCTCAGCCTGGGCCTCCAGGGGGGACCGAGACTGACTGGCTGACCCCCGCAGGTCTGGGGCAGAGAGGGAACATACTGCTCTTTCCTCAGCTCTAGCTGAGGTGAATACACTCCTCTGCTCATTGAGCTGGGCTCTCCATGAAGTGGCTAGAAGAAAAGATGGCCGCCTGGGTCTGTCGCTCCTTGCAGACACGTACTGGTGACAAGGGGAGGCTTCTTTGCCTTAGGCAGGGATAGTGAAGGAGAAAATGGGCATATGAGGGCTGGTTCTGGAGAGCTTTGCATTTGAGGTCAAGAGCTGAAGCATAGTCTTGCCTCAGTTTCTTTAACCATAAAATGGGCACAGCCTTTGTGAAGATGGAGTGATTCGCTCGGCTTTCCAAAGAAGAGAGGACTGTGGTTGTAGTGTTCATATACAGTTTGTGATTTAGGGAACAAGTAACAGAAAACTTCCACTGGCTGAATGAAAAGGAATATTAATAACCTTAGTAGATCACAAATTAGGAAAGGCATCAAGGCTGGCTGGGGGTCCCTGATTCATTAATGGTCCAGTTCTGCCACTCAGTTATGTATGTGTTGGATTTCAACACCGTTGTCAGGTACTGTACTAAGGAACAAATGCTTGGGTGTGATGGTTTAGATTGGCTTCCCTCAAGGACACAAAATGGCATCTTAGATCCAGGCATCACATCCAAATCCAGTCACAATTAGAGGAAGAAGGAAGATGGCTCTTCTTATGTATCTTTTTTTAAGATTTATTTTTGTCTTTTTGAGACAGGGTCTCGCTGTGCAGTTCAGGCTGGCCTTGAGCTCACTTTGTAGCCCAGGGTGGCCTTGAACTTGCAACGATCCTCCTGCCTCAGTCTCCTGAGTGCTGGGATTACAGGCATGCACCACCATGCCCAGCAGAGTGGAGAGTTTTGATTTTGTGATTCCATAGGCCCCACAATGAGCCACAGCTGTTCTTAGAGACAGTGCTGAAGGCGGAGGGTGGACCTCTGAGAAAGGACCGCAGCAGAGGCTACTGGCTGCCTAGGCAATGTGGATTCCCCCATTCACTTCTCACAGAACCCAGATCTTGTTGGGGTCACTTCCTTCCTCCATATTACTATCTGCTTTTTAGGCTAATTCAATTGCTCCTACCTGTGTGGTGACTGACTGAAGCAGGAGACACATGACAGGATGATGGGCTATAAGAGGGGATGCAAGCTGAGGGACTTGTAGAAAATTTTTTTTCTACATAAAAAGATACATAAGGCCAGGTGTGGTGGCGTACTCCTGTAACCCCAGCACTCGGGAGGCTGAGGCAGGAGGGTCGTTGTGTGTTCAAGTCCAGCCTGGGCTACAAAGTGTGCTCAAGGCCAGCCTGAACTGCATAGCGAGACACTGTCTCAAAAAGAAAAAACAAAACAAAAACAACTATCCACTCAATGGGACTTGGTAACTTCTGCAGTCAAGTACTTAATTCATTTAAAACAGTTTTAAAATGATGAAGTAATTTTGGCTATGAATTCTCCTCTAAGTACACCTTTAGCCATGTGTTAACTATTTAAAATTTCTCAAGTCTTTGAGGTTTTCTGTTTGTTTTCATATTTTATTTTATTTTATTTTATTTTATTTTATTTTATTTATTTTATTTTATTTTTTGGTGCTGGGGATCAAACTCGGGGCCACACACCTACTAGGTCCAGTAAAATCTTGAAGATGACCTTTTCCATATTCTTCAAAGTTCAGAACATGTGCTGATGCCATGCCAAAATATTTTTAGCTGCCACGTTTGGAGACTGAATCAGTTTTAAAACATTTCTTTTCAATTCTCAGTACTTCCTGATGACGTCCAGGCCACACTTGGGTGCTTCTATTTCCTTTTCCAGAGCTGCAGCTGAATCCAGGGTCTGGCATAAACCAGGTGAACATCATGGAATCACAAAACCCACAACCCCAGCACCCCGGCCTCCTTTGTGGTACTGGGGACATTCGACTACTGAGCTATACTCTCAGCCCCACCTTTTACCTTTTCAATGTATTTGTAAAAAAAAATTTTTTTTTTTTTTTTTTTTTTTGCCTGTGGATGTTCTGTGTCTCTCTCTCTCTCTC